GGGAGAGAGAAAGTCGTTCGCTGAATTCCAAAATCCAGCGCCGGCACTGGGAAAGGATTGCGCAATGTCATCATGTAAAACGTTCTATACGAAGAGTCTCAGTTAAGGAATTTCGGAGGCATACGTAATCTATGGATAAAGTGCGCAGATCAGAGTGGGCTTGCTTGTCATCATCACTATAAATTATATTTCATCTTCCGTAACTTACCATCTCTGTTATAGAAAATTATGAATTCGTTGTTTGTTCGGATAAGAATAACTAGGTTCGCGTTTAATAATGCTGTATATTATGTCATTGAAGGTATTTATATTTCCAAGTTATAGATAAGAGTTCATGTGAGATGTGCTTGTATGGGGTGCGATCTCATGCTAATAATTTAGTGAACATGTTACATTTAGTTCAGAGGGTCTGTAATCGGATTTAATTTAGTTTTTATAGCTCTTAAATTAATATAAACTAAAAATTTGTTAAAATATGCCTCCCTGTCATTATTCCTGTATTTCTAATTGAACTACTCAATATTATACTGATAGAGCATATTTTAGGTGTTTTCTATCAAGTCCTGCTATTTCTGTTTATGGCAATTTTTCCAACGGAGTCATGCATAATATTGCTTCCACGCGCGCTTTGATACGAACTGAATATGTTCTCGACACATTTTAAAAAGGAGTAATCTGAATTTGAAGTCGTAGTGTATCTCTTTGTGATCCCTAAACGTCCCAAAATTACCACAAAGAGAGTGAATAATGCAATAAGCAGGTTTTGATTCAACTTGACGCTTCATTTCATTTATTTAAGTTTAAGAGTCCTTCAGCAGCTAAGGCCATTTAGGCCAATCAGAGATGATAAAATGAAATGACAAAGATAATGGAAATGAGAATAATGATGATAGCGATTTATTGAAATGATAGGACGGAAAACGGGAGAACCCTTAGCAAATCTGCTGAGAGGTCGCTTTATCCTTCTTAAATTCCACATGGATTGACCGGTAATCGAACCCGGACCTCAGCGGGTAAAAACGTATGTGCTAGCCTTTAAGAGTAAAATTTCCTGCTTCGTACGATGAATGCAAGTCAGCTCCCCGGTTGTCGCCAATTCAACCTCTTCAGTCCCTCCTTTTCCTGGTCTCCCGCGACTCGCGCGGTAACTCGTCATTGTGCCGCTGCCGCGTCGCAGCGCCACCGCCGCGGCGCAGCCGGAGTTCACGAACTGCAGATTTTCTATTATCCGAGTTAATATTGACATAGTGCACCTAAATTATGGAGGTGCATCAGCAATGTTAATCGATGGAAGAAATGTTGCCTTCAATGGTCGGTAGAAGTCTCCCTCGAATTTTGATAAAAATTGAAAAAAATCCAATTTAACTCATTTATTACTACCATCAACCTGGTGGACAAAAATAATTTAAAATTCGAACAAAAACATTATTCAATATTCAAACTTCGATTTTGATGCGTATCCTCAAGAGAGCGATAACGACCCCCCGATAATAGCCCTCAAAAGAAAACGAATAAATCCGGCGAATTTGCGTGAGGTCGTAGTTTTTATGCGCGAAAATGAGTGGTGTTGGAGTCTTGTTTTGGAGTATTTGCGCGTTATTCGTCTTCTTGTGGCCATTCCAGAATCATCGTGATCGAACGAGAGAAGCTTTTCTTTGGTACGTCGGTAAACAATTGCTTGCGTTCGACGATGTTGCAAATTCGACTCAATCATACAGCGATGTTACATTCGTACCTAGAGATAGTTGGAGATCAATACTGAGAAACTGATGGATGGATTATTTTCTAAAAATTTCAGTCGAGTGTCAGTTTTCGCCAAGCAATATTTCAAGCGTAAAAAAATGTTGAATAAACTACATATTTTATGCAATTATATTTTTCTTTAAGAAAACTTAAATACAATAAAAAATTACATGACTCCCTCCCATGTTAGTAACCATTTGAAATTTATACGTTTTGCCGGTCCTGCTCTCCTGTCATAACTTAATACAAATGAAAATTAAGTGGTGCAAACTCTTTCGACATAAACTTTTCAAAACTTGTATCCAAAATTTTAATATAATGTCAAAGAAGTGTATTCTTAGGAACTATTCATTTTCTTTTTTAATGCATTTATACGTCCATAAAATTTACGCAGGCAAAGCAATAAACTGTAACATTGAAAGTGAAAAAACATTAAAAATTAAAAAATAATAAATTATGTTCATTACCATTGTTCAATTTGGTCCTGTATTGCTTTTCTATCACAGTAAAGTAAATGCGCAAACCAAAAATTCCTTGAATGAGGACCGAAAACCACTAAATAACTCCGAGAGTCATGAAAAATATTTGACTGCCACAAGAGCGCAAGAGATCCGCTATTGACTCAGACCCAATCGAAAAAGAAAATCTCAGATTATCTGCAGTCCATCTGGCTAAGAATCGTAGAAAAGATAGGTAAATAGGCCTAGTATATTTTTTCTTCAATGTTACACAACTTATAATATATACATCAATAACATATTCAATAAAAACCTTAGATAAAACTAAGAGAGGTAATGTCAAACGGTAAATACAATATTTGATGAGAAAGTCCGATGATCAGGGAATTGGGGATGGTCCGATTTTCCTGGAATCGGGCACATCATCGCCCAGCACACAAGCCAGCGCGCTAGTCTCGTTGCAACTAAACCATACGCTTCTGTTTTCGTTTGTCAACAGGCTATTTTCTTCATGTATTTTACTATATCGCGTACTGCGTATTTACGTAGTAAATATAAAGTGTTGTAATGATGCAGTGGGAAGTGGCGATTTTTCATCCGAAAAACTCGTACTGTGGGGCTCTGCTACGGAAAAGGCGGATTAACATTCTTTCTACAAAGGCGGCTTCACACATTCGACATTCAGCGAGCTGCTGTTCACCTAATTCCGAACAGCTAAAGTGTTCGGCGAATGTTCGCTCCCTTTGATGTGTGTGGTGGTGTTTGGTGGGTAGGGCGAATTCCGAATGTTCGGCGCTCGGCGAATCGCAAGCAGCCCGTCCACACTACTCGTCATTCGACGCGCGGTTGCTCGGGATTCGCCGAATGCCCAATGTGTGGAGCCGCCTTAAGTGGTAAATGACTTTCTCTAAAACGTTGTGTAGTCGGAATCCAAGATTTGAGGGTCGTTACCGAAAAAATTGTTTACGGCAAAACGTCTGCCATCCGTTCGTACCTCTTGAACAGTCCGCTAGCTCTTAAACCGTTCAGACTTTCTGCCAACATGTCATTCCTGATTGATCAGGTAGAACTTTACATAAGGGTACATTACATAAAGTTTCTACATTGTCTATTTATTTATCCTTAAATGGATAACAATTTTTGGATTAAATATTTTTCTCGTATAAAGCAAAGAACACTTAAAAATAGTACAGGTTTTATGTTTGCGAAATTTTTGAATTTTAGAAAATAGAGAAGTTCACAATTGTTGTGGTGTCTTCCAACAACTGTAATATTGAAGTTAGATAATTTTTTTGCTTAATTTATTTTTTTCTTCTATTTAAAGATGCATCTTTGAATAAGGCCTCGAACATTTTATTGAAAATATGAGTAAATTTCCTCTAATGTTTGCCTGAAGACAGTTTTTTTAAAAGTGCCCAAAAACGGCTCCATGTTTTTTTTGTTTGTTTTTTTTTCTTTTTTTTCTAGAGCAAAGTACGCTTACAAAAGTGTCGCAGGTGCGATCCTCTCTCCTGATTGACTCTCTCTTGTCCTTTCCTCCCCCTTCCATTTAGGCTTACGAGCACTACTCTACGATACATGTCGGGAGGCCACATGGGGGCTTAGAAGTGGTTCCGACTGGAGTGAGATACCTGTTTAGGGAAAACCCCGCAGACCCTGCGTAGGTTGGTGCCAGATCTCGTCATCCAAACGGTGAAGATCAGCCCCCCTCCCGCGATAAAATCATGCACCACATTAATGACCTTAGCAGTTGACCAACCCGGAAACACTAATCAATCAATAAAACGAGTATCAAAATTAATGATCACACGACTGGTCTGGGAATTCCCGTTCTTCGGCTCTGGCTTCTTCTCTTGGGCCGCGATTGCAGCACAAGCACAATCAGCCGGCTAGCCGGCGCCTCAATCAAGCGGCGCCCATCCCCAGTGACCCGCAGCAGAAGGAGTTCTGCTCCTGCCCCGCCCCGCCACGCCAAACCGTGCCGGGCGTGCGAGCTCGTAAGGTCTCCACCTAATAAGTTGCCGCTAATAAAACCGGCAAGAATTACACGGCGCCTAACCTTTAAGATCACATTTCACGTCTCCCAAGGGCCTCTTACAACTGATTACTCGTGGCCTAACTGACATTTCGCTCCAACGGGCCGTTACTCGCCGAGAAGTCTCCCTCCGCCCCGTCCCGCCTCGCCGCCGCCCCCGCTTTGTTCTCGACCGGCAGGAGGCGCGCTTGTGTCGGTCGAGACAGAAGCCCCGCGACCTTCCCACACAGGCGCGGGAGCGGGGCGGGGGCGTGGGCGGGGGCGGAGGAACGCCGTGAAGGCAAAGGCACGCTCCGTCGCTCCACATCACCCCCTCCCCTTCTCCCTGTCCTTCCACGAGCCGGGCTTTGGCACGCACAGCCCCCTGCGATTATTACGATTATCGTAAAAGTTTCCCTACCCTTCTCCTTTTCCAAGAACAAGTGCCCTTCTCCGGCAAGTCACCATTGTTGACTAAAAAGAGAGCGAAATCCCGTGTTAAGGTTGTAGCAACTCAATTTTTGCTCCTGTCAAACAACCCTCTTCACTCTAGTACCATGTGCACTGCCCAGATGGCAGCGCTGCCACTTACGCGGCGGTGTAGTTTGCACGTTTGCCGCTAGGTGCCGCCGCTCTCCGCGGCGGCGAAGTGGTTCGAGATTTCTCGAAGGGGATCGAGGCCGCGTCTACGTCGCCGCACCCGTTGTGCCTGCAAGGTGCTGCCGCTGCTGCTGTTGTTTTGTTTATGTGAAATCGCAGGCCAGAAAAGAAAGTTTCCGCCAGTCGTCGGGCGAGTTGGGCTCGAAGCGTGCTGGGGAGGCAGCATGCACCGCGTTTGCTGACACTCAGCTGCACCAAATTAGTGAATATCGCGAGTGCTTCCTTTCGAATATCATAAACTTTTCCCATACAATGCGGAGACTATGACAGATGCTTTTTCGTAGCATTGTCCGTGCTCAACTATTTAAGTAGGACAACTTCGATTTCACACATCCGCGTGCAGTGAACATGAAAAGAGAGCTGTTTGCACACCTTCGCAACAACTATGGCAACGCTTGCATTGCTGTTGGATTGTTCTACCTGTTCGTCGTCAAGGTAAGTCTTCACCGTTCCTTTTCTTTTTTTACGTTTTCCACGCGAGTAACTGTACAACACTGCGTGTCTACGCACAGACACAAGAAAATCCTTGAATGAACAGCCCTTGAACTGTTGTTTTTCTTACGTCTTCCCACGTTCGCAATATTTTTTTTTTACCTACCTAGGACTTATGTCAACGATGTCACCGTGCCGCGCCGTGTCAGCGAAAGTGAAATTGTGTCGATCGCGCGCGTTACAATTTTAGTTGGTTCTGGTGTATCTTCTTCTGTGAGTCACCAATATTTTCAAACATTACGCCGCGTGTGGCATGTGTCCAAAGCAAAACGTAAAAAGTGCTGGCGCGCGCGCGAGCCAGAGTTAGAGGCGCGGTCTTTTCGAGCGCCGTCGCGCACGTCGTTCGCGCGTCGCCAACGCGAGTTGAGGACGCCACGCGCGGAATCCCCGCGTGCGCGCGATTTGTCACTCCGGTCGCGCGCGCATCAATGCGGGTCGTGCGCCACGCGGACTCCCGCGCGTTTGGGCAGACTTCGCGGCGTGTATGGGGAACCTAGCGAATGGCGTTGGTAAACGAGGAAAGTGCGCGGCGTCGGTCGCGCGTTTCTGCGGTGTGCGCGCGTAGCCGGCGCGGAGTTGAATTCGGCGGGGGCCGGCGACGAGAATGAACGGCGGGGGTGGGTAGGACGACGTCTCGGTCTCGTTTTTGACACCAAGGAATGCGCGTATAGTCCCGCGGAACGTACGACATGGGTTTCCTGTTATGTGAGATAGATGCGGGAGCGCTTATAAACTAATGGTATTGTCGGGATAAATTTGTTTGTTTTTTCTAATTAAAACATCAACCCATTTGACCTTAAATGTGTCTCAAAGTGACATAACGAAGTCAATGTAGTGTTAAATGAATAGACACACAGACATCTGAGTTTTTGACTCTGGGCATGCACATCTGGCACTTGGTTTAGCACTTATGTAAGATCCACTATCCCCCTCACACGACTTCTAGACTTCCGAATTTAAGCGATTATTTTTGTTGGCAGTTGCAAGTCAAGAAAAGTAAATATTTAGATTAAACAAAAAATAACGTAAGTAATGCCGTAGTATTTTCGTTGTTTTTTTTAGATCAAATTGTGTCAAATTTCTTAAATGCTTTTCGTTAAATGTTGCGACAACAGACCTGAATATTATTTGTCAAAAATTCACTTGTCGAGCTGTCACCGAAAAAACATTCTGGTGACACTGTCTCCGTCAATGACAACCAACTGTCACAAGCCGGTTTTCCTGTTATTTTAAAGCGGCGTGGAGTGTATCGTAGTGTTCTTGTGATGTTAAAAGTACCTCAAAGTACCTTCATGACTAGTAGAGAGCGTAGTGATTTTGATTTTGAGAGGCGTTTCGTGATTCCACTTTGACATTTGAGATCACGTATCGTATTACGCTCAAGCGCAGGATTTGTGAATCACGAAGTCAGAAGTCCCTGCGTCGTTTTTCTTGAAAGGAAGTTGATGTTCATCTTGGTAAATCAGCTGGAATTGGAAAGCTGAGACAAAAGATCGAAGTTCTTTCTTTTAACTTCCACAAGCCAGCATGTTGTTTTACAGGGAATGTTTACATTGCTATCTTGATTAAAAATGACTTATAAAAATGAGTTTTCGCATGTAAATTACCTACCCTCTTTTAGTTTCACACTAAAAGAAAATAACTAGGCGTAAATAACGAAGTCCTCGAATTTCGTAATTTTTGTCTCGTCAGTTTGATTGCTGCTTCTTGTAATGTTTCTTATCATGATGAATTCATAGGGGTGACCAAATAGTACTGAAAATGTGGAATATGAAAAAAAAAGATCAAAGTATAGTTTTCATACTTTTTAATCTTTTTGTCAAACTATCAAAGAATCTTTGTAAATGAATAACTTATGTGCTCCGAATAAGCTAAGAAGAATTGAATTGTTTTGGAAGACATTGGGATTAGCTCGAATCGACATTTTGGGCCAGGGGCCCTGAACAAATATTTGAGCGTCATTATCCATATTTACATGTCCATATTTACATACACAAGCGTCATTATCCATATTTACATGTCATTTTGTGCGTGAACTTATTGCTATACCTTGGCGAAACATCTACACAAAACAAATCTGCACTTTTAAAGGTGTATTGTAGCTACTTGTAGTTTTCTTATAAAGGTATTGTTACGCCCTTACAATTTTACATACTACATAAATAGCTGATTATTAGTACACTTTCTTCTTTTCATGCGTA